TTGGGGGGGAAAACCTGCCGGGGTTTGGGGGGGAAAAAACAGCCCGGGGTTTGGGGGGGAAAAATACCTGCCCGGGGTTTTGGGGGAAAAAACTGTGGGGTGTGGAGGAGCCTTGCTCTGTGTTCCCTCCACGTTCTTTCCCTCTTCCTTCCATGTTCTCTCCGTGTTCTCTCCATATTCTTTCCATGTTCCCTCCATGTTTTCTGCGTCTTCCCCTTTGCATTCTCTCCACATTCTCTCCTTTGCATTCCCCCTCCACATTCTCTCCATGTTCCCCCTCCACATTCTCTCCATGTTCCCCCTCCACATTCTCTCCATGTTCCCTCTCCACATTCTCTCCGTGTTCCCCTTCCATGTTCTCTCCATCTTCCCCTCCACAATCTCTCCACGTTCCCTCTACATTGTCTCCATGTTCCCCCTCCATGTTCCCCCTCCATGTTCTATGTTTCCCTCCATGTTCTCTCCATGTTTCCCCTCCGTGTTCCTCCTCCATGTTCTCTCCATGTCCCATGTTCCCCTCCATGTTCCTCCTCTATGTTTTTTCCATGTTCCCTCTAAATTTTCTCCATGTTCCCTCTGTGTTCCCCCTCCATGTTCTCTCTGTGTTCCTCCTCCACATTCTCTCCATCTTCCCCTCCACATTCTCTCCATGTTCCTCCATGTTGTTTTCCATGTTCTTTTCACGTTCTCTCCATGTTCCTCCTCCATGTTCTTTTCACATTCCCTCCATGTTCCCTCCCTGTTCTTTTCACGTTCTCTCCATGTTCTCTCCGTGTTCCCTCCATGTTCCCTCCGTGTTCCCACCACATTTCCCCTCCATTTTTCCCCCTTCCCCAGGTGCTGCAGCTCTCGGACCTGCTGCAGCGCGGCATCGGCGTCCACCACGGCGGGGTGCTGCCCCTGCTCAAGGAGATCGTGGAGATGCTCTTCAGCCAAGGGCTGGTCAAGGTGTGTGGGGTGTGGGACGCAGGGTTCTGCCCCATGGCGTCTCCCCCAGCCCCAAACCTGCCCCGAACCTGCCTCAAACCTGCCCCAAACCTGCCTCAAACCTGCCCCATACCTGCCCCAAACTTGCCCCCATGTCTGCCCCAAATTTGCTCCCACTCCTGCCCCAAATTTGCCCCCACTCCTGCCCCAAATTTGCCCCACTCCTGCCCCAAACCTGCCCTCACCTGCCCCAGGTGCTGTTCGCCACCGAGACCTTCGCCATGGGGGTGAACATGCCGGCACGGACCGTCGTCTTCGACTCCATCCGCAAACACGACGGGAACAGCTTCCGTGACCTCCTGCCAGGTGTGGGGCCACGTTTGGGGCTCGGTGCTGTGTCCTCTGTGCGCCAACGGGGTGGAAAAGGGGCGGAAAATGTGAAGGAAAAAGCGGGGGAAAGCTGAGAGAAAAAACAGGGGAAATGGGGTTGAGGGAAGGTGGAAATATGGGAGGAGAAGTTCAAGGGGAATGAAGGGAGTAGAGTTGTAATTGTGGTGGGAATGTGAGGGGAAAAATAGTGGGAAACGTGAGGGGGAAATGGTGAGAAATGTGAGGGGAAAGGGCGGGAAATGTGAGGGAGAAAAAGTGGGAAAGGTGAGGAGAAAAATGGTGGGAAACGTGAGGGGAAAAGGGTGAGAAACATGAGGGAAAACAGTGAGAAATGTCAGGGGAAAAGGGCAGGAAACGTGAAGTGAAAATGGCGAGAAATGTGAGGGGAAAATGGTGAGAAATTCAAGGAGAAAAATAGCGGGAAATGTGAGGAGAAAAAGAGCGAGGAATGCGAAGGGAAAAATGGTGGGAGCTCTGAGGGGAAAAAGGCAAAAATTGTGAGGGTGAAACCAGTAGTGTTTATGAAAAGAAAACAAAAAAGCCACCTTGCTGTGGGGCAGGGCCGTGTCTCACCGTGCCTTTGTGTCGCCCCAGGCGAGTACACGCAGATGTCGGGGCGCGCCGGGCGCCGCGGGCTGGACGCCACCGGCACCGTCATCATCCTCTGCAAGGGACAGGTGCCCGAGCTGTCCGACCTGCACCGCATGATGCTGGTGAGCGCCTGGCATGTCACTGACATGTTACTGCCGTGTCCCCAACCGTGTGTCACTGCCTGAGTGTCCCCCCATTTGTGTGTCACCGCCATGTCACCACCTGTGTGTCACCATGATGTCACCGCTGTGTCCTCACCCGTTTGTCCCCACCTGTGTCCTCACGTGGGGAAAATGTAGAGAAACGTGACGGGAAAATGGTTGGGAAACGTGAGGGGAAAATGGCAAGAAACATGAGGGGGAAACGGCGAGAAACGTGAGGGGAAAATGGCAGGAAACATGAGGGGAAAATGATGAGAAATGTGAGGGGAAATTGGTGAGAAATGTGAGGGAAAAATGGTGGGAAATGTGAGGGGAAAATGGCGAGAAATGTGAGGGGGAAATGGTGAGAAACATGAGGGGAAAATGATGAGAAACGTGACGGGAAAAAGAGCGGGAAACGTGAGGGGGAGAAAAATGGTGGGAAGCATGAGAAGAAAATGGTGAGAAATGTGAGGGGAAAGGGCGGGAAACGTGAGGGAGAAAAAGTGGGAAAGGTGAAGAGAAAAATGGTGGGAAACATGAGGGGAAAATGCTGGGAAACGTGAGGGGAAAATGGTGAGCAACATGAGGGAAAACAGTGAGAAATGTGAGGGGAAAAGGGCAGGAAACGTGAAGTGAAAATGGCGAGAAACGTGAGGGGAAAATGGTGAGAAATTCAAGGAGAAAAATAGCGGGAAATGCGAGGAGAAAAAGAGCGAGGAATGCGAAGGGAAAAATGGTGGGAGCTCTGAGGGGAAAAAGGCAAAAATTGTGAGGGTGAAACCAGTAGTGTTTATGAAAAAAAACCCAAAACCAGCACCTTGCTGCGGGGCAGGGCCGTGTCTCACCGTGCCTTTGTGTCGCCCCAGGCGAGTACACACAGATGTCGGGGCGCGCCGGGCGCCGCGGGCTGGATGCCACCGGCACCGTCATCATCCTCTGCAAGGGACAGGTGCCCGAGCTGTCCGACCTGCACCGCATGATGCTGGTGAGCGCCTGGCATGTCACTGACATGTTACTGCCGTGTTCCCAACCGTGTGTCACTGCCTGTGTGTCCCCCCATTTGTGTGTCACCGCCATGTCACCACCTGTGTGTCACCATGATGTCACCGCTGTGTCCTCACCCGTTTGTCCCCACCTGTGTCCTCACGTGGGGAAAATGTAGAGAAACGTGACGGGAAAATGGTTGGGAAACGTGAGGGGAAAATGGCAAGAAACATGAGGGGGAAATGGCGAGAAACGTGAGGGGAAAATGGCAAGAAACATGAGGGAGAAACGGCGAGAAACGTGAGGGGAAAATGGCAGGAAACATGAGGGGAAAATGATGAGAAATGTGAGGGGAAATTGGTGAGAAATGTGAGGGAAAAATGGTGGGAAATGTGAGGGGAAAATGGCGAGAAATGTGAGGGGGAAATGGTGAGAAACATGAGGGGAAAATTATGAGAAACGTGACGGGAAAATGGTTGGGAAACGTGAGGGGAAAATGGCAAGAAACATGAGGGGGAAATGGCGAGAAACGTGAGGGGAAAGTGGCAGGAAACATGAGGGGAAAATGATGAGAAATGTGAGGGGAAATTGGTGAGAAATGTGAGGGAAAAATGGTGGGAAATGTGAGGGGAAAATGGCGAGAAATGTGAGGGGGAAATGGTGAGAAACGGGCATTGGGATGGACTGGGGGCACCCCAGTATGGACTGGGAGCACCCCAGTGTAGACTGGGGGGCACTGGGATGGACTGGGGGCACCCCAGTATGGACTGGGAGCACCCCAGTGTAGACTGGGGGGCATTGGGATGGGCTGGGGAGCACTGGGATGGACTGGGGGCACCCCAGTATGGATTGGGGTACACTGGGATGGACTGGGGGGCACCCCAGGATGGACTGGGGGGTACTGGGGGCACCCCAGGATGGACTGGGGACACCTCAGTATGGACTGGGGGGCATTGGGATGGACTGGGGGGCACGCCAGGATGGACTGGGGGGTACTGGGGACACCCCAGTATGGATTGGTGGACACTGGGAGCACCCCAGGATGAGCTGGGGGACACGGGGACACCCCTATACAGGGGCTGGCATGTCCCAGTAAGGGCACTGGGACTGCCCCAGTACAGACACTGGGACTGCCCCAGTAAGGGCACTGGGACTGCTCCAGTATGGACTGGGATTGCCCCAGTAAGGGCACTGGGACTGCTCCAGTACAGACACTGGGACTGCTCCAGTACGGACACTGGGATTGCCCCAGTAAGATCACTGGGACTGCTCCAGTACAGACACTGGGACTGCCCCAGTACGGACACTGGGATTGCCCCAGTAAGGTCACTGGGACTGCTCCAGTACAGACACTGGGACTGCCCCAGTACGGACACTGGGATTGCCCCAGTAAGGTCACTGGGACTGCTCCAGTACAGACACTGGGACTGCCCCAGTACGGACACTGGGATTGCCCCAGTAAGATCACTGGGACTGCTCCAGTACAGACACTGGGACTGCCCCAGTACGGACACTGGGATTGCCCCAGTAAGATCACTGGGACTGCTCCAGTACAGACACTGGGACTGCCCCAGTAAGGACACTGGGACTGCCCCAGTACAGACACTGGGACTGCCCCAGTAAGGACACTGGGACTGCCCCAGTACAGACTGGGATTGCCCCAGTAAGGGCACTGGGACTGCTCCAGTAAGGCCACTGGGACTGCCCCAGTAAGATCACTGGGACTGCCCCAGTACAGACTGGGATTGCCCCAGTAAGGACACTGGGACTGCCCCAGTAAGGCCACTGGGACTGCCCCAGTAAGGACTGGGAACACCAGCCCCCCCCAGTAAGCCCCCCGTGCCCCCCCAGGCGCAGACGCGGCGCGTGGCCGCCCTCAGGGAGGCGCTGGCGGCGCTGGGGGACCCCGAGGGGACAGAAGGGGACATCGGGGACCTGCCCCAGTACCACCAGGCCGTGGTGGCACTGCGGCGCGCCCGCGCCGTGCTGCAGGTGGGGCTGGGGACACCGCGGGGACACTGGGGACAC